TGATAACTAAACTTATCGTGGTAATCATTTGCCATACATATACATATACCAAGTCATTATGTTATATACCTAAAACTAACACAGTATTACATGTCAGTTATATCTCAGTAAAAAAAAATAAATGTTGGCAACTAATTCAAAATGTTTTAAAATAAGAGGAGGGGCGCCTGGGTGGCTCAGGCGGTTGAGTGTCTGACTCTTGATTTTAGCTCAGGTCATGATCTCATAGTGGTGAGATCTAGCCCCATGTTGGCCTCTGCACTGGGGCACAAAGCCTGCTTAAGATTCTCTCTCCCTCTCCCTCTGCCCTCCACCCATCTCTCAAAAAAAAAAAAAAAAAAAAAAAAAAAGAGGAGGCCAGTCACTACCTGTGCTTTCTTCTTGGGAATTCTGCTCTTCCACCTGGATGGCTGTTCCAGGCCTTTGGTTTCTTCCTCTCCATTCAACTGTACGTTTTTTAGTCAGAGCAACCTTTTCAAAACTCAACTCTGACCACTGCCTCTACTGCTTGGAGCCCTCAGCCCTCATCCCAATCTTGATTCCTGTGCTTCGTTCTTCGGAGTTTCTGTCTTTATCTCATTCTCCCTTCTCCCTGTGAGAGATCAATGGCTCCCATTGCTACGGACAAAGTGGTGGCTCCTAAAATGTATCCCTGCATGCCCGTCCTGTCTCAAGCACCAGACTCACAACACACACCATGCATCTCTGCTAGATACTCCTTAACAACCTCAAAGCTCCATGCGTGTCTCCTGCCTTGATCTCAGTGTGGTGAGGGGCACCCAACAGCTACTGCAGCAGAGCCCTGGCGCGCACACTTGACTGTTCACTCCCCCTCACCTGGTCTGTACTGGATCTGGTTTGCCTAATGTCTCTCACATTAGCGCAGCTCCAGTTCCCACCAGTCTGGGCTCCCCCTCTTCTTTCCTGGCGGCAACAGCTTCCAGCAGCCTTGACTTCCTGCTTGCCATCTCACGATTCCCCAGTCCATCCTTCATAGCCAGCTCGGAGCACAATCAGAAACGAGGAAGACAAGGGCTCTCTCCTCCAAGACTTTCACCCAATCCTGCTTACCCTCAATCTTTATGTCTCCGAGTGGCCATGCAGCCACACACCTCATCTCTGACCTTGGTTCTTCTCTTCCTCCGTCCTCCTCTCCCTTCCCCCCTCGGCTAACAAGCAGCTCCTCCTCCAGGTAGGCCTTCTCGACCACTCCACTATGTGTCCTCTTACAGACTTTACCCCACACGGTTAGTATCCTGTCTCCTTGCCCGTGTCCCGAGCGACATCTTATTCAGCTCAGTATCCCCTATAGTAACTAGCACAGTGTTAGGCACACAGTAGGTGCTCAATAAATGTTGAATGAATGGATGAACACAGGGTCAGTTAGTTATTGGCACAATGCTAGAACTCACGCCTGTGTTTCTCAACCCCTGCCCTCTCCAAGATTTTTTTTTAAGTTTATTTATTTATTTTGAGAGAGAGAGAGAGAGAACAGGGGAGGGGCAGTGAGAGAGGGAGAGAGAAAGAATCCCAAGCAGTGTCTGTGCTGCCAGTACAGAACTGGGCGCAGGTCTCAAACTCACAAACCATGAGATCATGACCAGAGCTGAAATCAAGAGTCTGATGCTTAACCAACTGAGCCACCCAGGCTCCCATCCTTCTCCAAGATTTGAAAATGAGATCTATTTATCTTCAAAGAAGTTTGAGGACATACCAAAATCACAGAAATCATTCTAACCCAGTGCTCTGTTCATAAACTGTCTCCCTCCAAATTCAGGAGAGACACAGAAGTTCTCAAAGCCCAGGCAAGGTCATCTGTGGGCTCACACAGCTATCGACCTGGCCGGGGGTCTCTGGCAGGGTGAAGGGAGAAAACCAGAGGCTGCGCTTTCTCTGCGGGTGCGCCCACCTCAATGCGGGTTCTGCAGCACGCTCTGCCCGGAGCATCTCCCTGACCGGCGCGGCGCCCTCTAGTGGCCACGGTGCTCCCCAGAAGGCGGAAAACTCCGCTCCGGGCGAGACCCTGTGACCACCCACATCCCCCACTCCCCGCCACCCCGGGGCCCCGCTTCCTGGCATTTGAATCCTGGGTCTTGGGAGGGCTCGCTCCTGCCAAGAATCGGGCTTGATTGCTTTTTCAGCAGTAGCGTGATGAGTTGATTAGGGCAGGCGTCGGAGCCAGGAAAAACAGGATCAAATCCCTGATTTTTTTTTTTTTTTTTTTTTTTTTTTGCCACTTAGCGGCGCTGTGGCAATGAAGTCATTCGACTCCAGGCGTAGAGGGGACGGGTCCATCTGCCAGGCAGGGCCACTCGTGGGGGGCGGGTGTGTGTGTGTGTGTGTGCTAATCAAGGGTTTGGCATAGAGCAGTGCTCAGTGAACCCTAGATCTCATGTCACAGGGCCTGGCGGAGAGGCTGCTGGCTGCTTCACGTACAGCACGCATGCCACGTGCTTTTACACTGAAGGCATTTGTTCACGGGAGCAGAAGCGTGACGGCAGCGTGACGTGGGCCTCCGGCGGGCGGGTGCTTGGTGGGAGGGAATCGCCCTGGGTGGATCGAGGCACGGAGACCCGCAAACCATCTGAGATGCTGAAATCTCTCCACCCCATCTAGGGATGGTGTCCAGGACAGTCCATCTGGTGTCCATAGGACAGTCCTATGCCGGGCAACCAGAAAGCTGACATGCTGGTGCCGTTCCCTTGCTGGAGGTCTGGAGGGTGGGGTGGGAAGAGCCACAGTGAACGCCTGAGACAAGTCTCCACCTTTCCAGTGTTCTCTAGACCCTTGCTTTCACATCTGGTAGCCACTAGCGACAGGTGCTATTGAGCCCTGTAAATGTGGCTGTTCAATCCAGGAGCTGATCTTTGAATTAAATTTTATTTTATTTCATTGAAACTTAAAGAGGGACACCCAATTCAGTTAGGGGAAACTTTTAAGTATATTTGGAACAATATCAAGTATTTTGAACAAAAATTTAGGGTCCGAATGGAACTGTAAGTGTAAAATTCTCACAGAATTTCAAAGATGCAAAATATCTCATTAATTTTTTTTATATTTAAGTTGAATTAATACTATTTTGGATATATTGGGTGTAATAAAATGTATTATTTAAATTAATTTCATTGATTTTTAAAATTATTTTTCTTTTCTTTTTTTCAAGTTTATTTATTTTGAGACAGAGAGAGAGAGAGAAATAGAGAGAGAGAGAGAGAGAGAGAGAGAGCGCTCATAAGCAGGGGAGGGGCAGAGAGAGGGGAAGAAAATCCCAAGCAGGCTCCATGATCAGTGCAGAGCCCGATTCGGGGCTTGACTTCACAAACCGTGAGATCATGACCTGAGCCCAAATCAAGAGTTGGACGTTTAGCCAACTGAGCCACCCAGTCACCCCATTTTTATTTTTTCTTGTGTGACTACTAGAAAATCTAAACCTACAGATGTTCCTGATGCTAGATTTCTCTTAGACAAGGCTGCTCTAGACCTACACAGAAGTCTTGTTCCCTCTGACTTACCCTTCAATCCTGGTTCCCCTCTTTGGTGCTGGCACGTGCTGGGCCAGACCAGACTGAGGGGCAGAGGCTAAGGGTGAGACCCACTCCAGTCAGGGAGCAAGGGGCTTGGAGTGGCTGCCCTGGCAGCCAGGAGTTCTGGAATGGGCAATATACCCGGGACAGCCGGTGGCCAGGGTTAGAATAGACTGGAGTCGGGGAAATGATCTGAGAGGGATGATTAACCAGCTCATAACCTTGCTCATTAACCAGTGAAGGAGAGAAGGAACGCAGGGTGACAAGACAGAGGCCCAGTATTTGTAACCAGAACTCAGGATGAGAGCTTAGTCACAAGAAGTGACTGGTTCCAAAGGAATGCAGAGCAGGATAGGAACAAGCCTGACTTAAGACTTAACATCTGAACTCCCCCTGGAGTGTGTCTGAATGTCACCAGCCATGGAACATGCAGGTGTGGATCTGCATTTGAAGCAGGAGCCCTTGGCCGGGGCTGGGGAGCTCAGGGAGGAAGCCAGATGGGCCCTCACCAAGCCCTGGAGCCACGGTGGCCCTAGTGCCCAGCCCAACTTTGGGCCCAAGCAATCCCACACACCAGTCCCTTCGGTAGGTCTGTGAAGCATGGCGCGGCCCGGTGGGCAGCTCTGTTTCTGCTCCAAGTATAAGTTAACCAGAAGGCTCTGGCTCAGGGGCCAAAGGCATCTGAGGAATTCATGCAGGACCCTGGTTCATTTCCTTTGAACTCTGAGATTACACAAGCAACGGTCTGTCTCAAACCTTGATCCACTAACACAAAACCAGGTCAGAAGGGGGTTGCGCAGCCTCTGGGTACGAAACAAAGGGCTCTCTCCACTGCGCTGGTTATGTTTGCCATCCAAACAGGGCAAAGTGCAGGCCTCCTGACTACAGGGAACCCAACCCCGCAGCGCGGTTCTGTTACACTTGGAAGTGTAGACTGCCATCGGGTTAACATGGCTGTCAACACCTTTCCCAGTGAGGCTGGGCCCTGGGTTCTCTGTCTGGCTTAAGAGGGGCTTCTTTCGAGCACACAGGTTGGGGGGCCTCAGCACGCAAACCCCTTTGCAGGTTTGCCTTGTTTTTGGTTTGACAACCAAGGGATTCCTCCCGTGTGGTAAATCCTGGAGACAAATCCTTTGAGAGGAAACAAACCATGACACCAATGATAAAGGTTCTTTGAGACTCAGGCAAGGCCATTTGATCTCATTAAACATGCTCATATGTGCACACAAACACACACATCTTGTTAAATACCAAGCTAAATGCTATCTTTTAAAAATATCTCGTTCCAAATATTTACTTTCCAGCTATAGGTTTTCCAATTCTAGCCAATAGGGTGGTGGAGGTGTCACCCAGGGCAGCACCGGAAGTCTTTCGGGCCAAACTATTCCAGAAGCTCCCACCCTTTGCCCAGATGCTCTGCTCCCAGGGGACCTTGTAAGGAACACCTCATGAAAATGAAAGGGAAGATCCACTCTGGTTTTGATTAGACAGCAATGAGGTACTGTTTGGTTTTATTAGATATAAGGAATTATTAATTCCAGTCAGAAGCAGCACAATTACCGCCATATTAGAAGGATTAATACCCAAGTCCAGACCGTGACTTGACCAGAAGCCTTTGCCAATGGCTCCTGGTACCACTGACCTAATCCGGGGCCTCCATTCTCTGGCCCATCCCGATCTTCATGCCTTGGAAGAGTTCTTGGAAGAGATCTACCACCAAGGTCATCCCTTCCAGCACCTATCTCTTCTGTCTGCTAGAAAATATCAACTAGACTGTTCCTAAAAGGACAGTGCTTATCTTACCCATGTGTCAAGGAAACCAAGCTAGATCCGGAAGGATCTCAGTCCTGTTTGTCTGTTGGGAGGCAGGACACAAATCTCAGTAAAGACCTTCTCTCTTCAACTATTCACCAGAGATACTGAAAGCAGTGAAAAAATAATATGTAAACCACCCTTTACACCACAGGCTTGCAAGCCCATATATTCTCCAGAATCAGGTGGAAGGCATATATGAGTAAAATGCAGTGTGTGTGTGTGTGTGAGGGTGTAGATGGGTGGGAGTGAGCCTCCTATCAGGGGAGAGGGATTGTAGCAAGCTGGAGATGATGGCAAGCCCCTTCCTCCACCTAGAAAACCAGCTTTTTCATGTGCAGTCTCTCAAGTCTCAAATATTGTTAACAAATACAAAAGGTTTTTGAACACAGCAGAGGCTGCTGCCTTGTAACTTCTGCCTTCGATAACTTCCTAACTTAATAAAAGTTCCCCTCCTCCCACTAAATAATAAAATTCCAACCCGATTATTACAAAGAAATTCACAGAGAAATAGAAAAATATAGCAGCTTCAAAAATACCAGTCTCCCTATTTTCAAACAAAATCAAAAGTGAATCCATTGAGTTCATTCTGGCGGAGAAGGAGGTCAGCTGGGCCCACTAATGGTGAGGCAGCCTTGCATTATTAAAAGGACACCTGCTGCTAACCAAGTCCCAAATAAGATGTCACCCTCTCTGCCCTCACACTGCCCCCTGAGGCAGAGAGGGGTGGAATTAGGCTGCTTATTATGAAGAATGAATTGAAGCATAGGCCCAGGAGAGACTCTCCTTGAGCTCAGACAGCCCCTCAACCACAGTTCCACATTTTGGTACCAGAAATGGAAGCTGAAACAACTATTGGAAGTCACGCAGCAGCAGCAGAACCCTGGCCAGAAACCTGCCCCACTGGACATGTGCTGAGCAAATCGTGCACGAATGAATGAATTCAGGGACTTCTCTTGGATAAGTGCTTCCTGCCAGGGAAAATCAGGTGATGCTCTTGCCACTGCAAAGACTGTATTAACTCCAGGGGCAGGGGAGGAAGGCAGGGCGGTAATGCAGAGTTCCTTGTACAAGGGAACAGATGGCTTTCCTGGCTTTTAAGGGAAAATCATCGACCCTGTCTGACTCAGACAGAAGAAAAAAGATTCAGGAACTTGGCACCTCTGGGCTGGGTTTGCTTTGACCTTGGACAAGGGCCTGAGATCGAGAGAAAGTCCCATGTTCTTACTCCTACCTTTCCTTGTTTGGTGCCCTGGGAAGCTCCTAGCATTCTTATTCTCAAAGGATTTGGCACAGAAAGTCAACGTAGACAGGAGGAAGAGAAAGGGCGTGAAAGCACTTGGATGTCTTATCTCTGGCCCAAGAGGCCCCCAGGGCAGCAGTGTAGTCTTTATTTTGGCTTGCTCTGGGAGCCAGGGTCTCAGGAAGCCCAACCTTCTCTGCTCTGGGGGACTCTTCCCAGAATTTCACAGGGAGAAGGGATTGGCTCATCCAGCATTTTCAAAGGTGCCACAATGGGCAATTTGGGCAGAACAATTCTTTGCTGTTGGAGATTGTCCTATACATCGTAAGGTGCCCACTAAGTGCTAAGGGTACCTCATTGTTATAGTAACCCTCCCAAAACACACACACACACACACACACACACACACACACACACGTTTCACTGCTGCCTAGAGCAGCAGCCTGGCCCTTGGGTGAGAGCCCCGGGGCCGGTAGCCCCCGCAGGTGTTTGAGAAACAGAGGCCGCTAAGGTTCAGCGGCATGTCCAAGACCACTCCCCCCAGATCTGATGACTTCTGGTCCAGAGTTCTTTCCAGTCACACTTGAAATGATGGATGGTCATGCAAACACACCACAGGCTGCCACAGCACCACAGAACCTCAAAGTAGACAGCCGTCTGTCCCAAGGGGGCAGAGAAACTGAGGTACAGAAAGAACAAATACCCTCACTGTGATCAGAGAGTGAGCAAATGTGAGGAGGGGGCAGGTTCCAGGAAAATAAGTTTTCTTAGCTGGCTCAATGCGGCAGCCCCCTGGCAGCGGGGGCCTTTCTGGTTACCACCATTGCAAGGTCACCATGGAGGCAAGGGGGCTCAGTGAGAGGGTGCCAGTGCCCAGAGTGCAGGTTCGAGCCCAGGCAGCCTGGGTGTCTGTCCTTCATCTTGAGCCTCCAGCGGGCTCAGCTGGAGCGTGAAGAAATCCATCACAGGCTCTCAGCCCCTTTCCGGAATCCTCACAATCTCCATTGAGAAATACCTCCGTCAGCGCCAGCTCCTCCTCAGGGTCCCGAAGGTGATCTGGAACACAAGAGCAGGAACCACCCAATCAGAAGGTCAAGTTTAGAAGTGACTAGGCTAGAAATGAAAGGGAGAGAGCTGGCCCCAGCAACAACCTACTTAAAAACCACAGTGAAATACATATCAACAACCTAAAAAATGTACATACCCTTGACCCAGCAATTCCATTTCTAGGACTTTATCCTATGGAAATAATTAGGGATAATTAGTGGAGCTGCTGTGGCCATCTTGTTACCAGCCCAAGGGTGAAACGACAGTGAGGGCAGCCCAGCAGAGAGAAGGAAGGAACCTGGGCCCCTGAATCGACCAGCTCTGAAGCTGATTCTACCACCAGAATGTCTTTTAGGTGAGATCCTGAATGCCTGTGCTGCTATGTTTGGCTCCTCTATCTGCAGCTGAAAACATACATACTGATTTGATTGTTAACCCTGGCTCGCTCACATGATGGGATTCAGACATTAAAAATGATGCACGAGGCACGTGCTTGGGTGGCTCAGTCAGTTGAGCATCTGACTTGAGCTCAGGTAAAGATCTCATGGTTTGTGAGTTCAAGCCCCAAAACAGAGCCTGCTTTAGATCCTTTGTCCCTCTCTCGCTGCCTCTCCCCCAACTGCACTCTCTTTCTCAAAAATAAAACCTTTTTAAAAAAATGATGCGTAGGGGTGCCTAGATGGCTCAGTTGGTTAAGCATTCAACTCTTTGTTTTGGCTCAGGTCATGATCTCATGGTTCGGGGGATCAAGCCCCGCATGGGACTCTGCACTGACAGCACAGAGCCTGCTTGGGATTCTCTCTCCCTCTCTCTTTGTCCCTACCACTCCCCTGCATATGCACGCATGCATGCTGTCTCTCTCAAAATAAATAAACCTTGAAAAAAAGACACATAAAGTTCCATAGAACTAAACACACACACACACACACACACACACACACACACACACAAGTAAAACTGGGGGAATCTGAGTAAGATCTGTGGATTGTTTCAATGTCAATATCCCAGTGGCAATACTATCCTATAGTTTCACAAAATGTTACTGTTGGGGGAAATTGGGCCAAGTGTACACAGGATGTCTTTGTATCATTTCTTGCAACTGCATGTGAATCTACAATTGCGTACTATCCCTCCAAAAAGAGAAAAGATGTTGTTGAGATGTAATCACTGCAATGGAGTATTGTGGGTCACAATATGTTACTGTGAGGGAAGCTGATTCCAAAACAGTATGTATAAATGTCTGCCTGTATAATCCTATATTTATATGTTACATAACTGCCTACACATAGTCCATGAATGCAATTTTCCTTTTAATACATTTGCTTCTACTTGAGATTAAATAATTTGTTATATGCTATAGAGGCACCTGGGTGGCTCAGTTCGTTAAGCGTCTGACTCTTGGTTTTGGTTCAGGTCATGATCTTAGGTTCATGGGTTCGAGCCCCGCATCAGGTTCTGTACTCTCAGCACAGACTTGCTTGGGATTCTCTCTCTCCCTTCTCTCTGCCCCCCACCACTCTCTCTCAAAATAAATAAATATACTTAAAAAAAAAAAGAAGAACATGTGACTCTTGATCTCAGAGTCATGAGTTTGAGTACCAAGTGGGGTGTAGAGATTACTTTAACAAATAGAACTTAAAAAAAATTGTTGGGACGCCTGGGTGGCTCAGTCAGTTGAACGTCCGACTCTTGATTTCAGCTCAGGTCATGAACCCAGGGTCGTGGGATCGAGCCCCATGTCAGACTCTGCACTGAGCATAAAGCCTGCTTGAGATTCTCTCTCTCTCTCTCTCTCTCTCTCTCTCTCTCTCGCCCTCTGTCTTCCCCCACCCGTGCACATGCTGTGCATACTCTCTCTCTCCAAATAAAAAATAATAAATTAAAAAATAAAATTAAAAAAATTTGTTATATGCTACAGGGGGGAAGTTATCCAAGATTTATGTAAAATTGTTTAGGATTCCTTTGCTTTATTATTTTTTTCCTTTGGTTTCCAGAAATATCCAAAGTGATGATGGAAAGGTTGAAGTTAACATTATTGCAATTAAATGTTTTAAATATCTGATGCATTTTGCAGATGATTCCTATATTACATAGAAGTGTAGTTATTAAAATTTAAATAACCAAGGAGATCTAGATAGGTAGATAGACAGATAGAATGGTCTACACCAAAATGCAGATTATAGTTAGTTTTGAATGACAGAATTAAGCAAATGACATTAATACTTGTTTTCCTTTTCCAATTTTTTTTGAGCTTTCACCTGTGATAGGCAGGATTCTAAGATGACCCTTAAAATTTCCACCCCTTGGTGCACTCATCCTTTCTAATCTCCTTTGAGTGTGGGTGGGATCTGTGAATATATGACCCTTGTATTGGGTACCATATATGACAAAGGTGACATTTGATGATTAAGTGCCATAACAGAAGACTAGAAATTGAATTCTAGTTGGAATTCTGCTAATTGAAGAGGCCGTTGTTGTGTTGAGAGATGTGTAGGGGAGTGGCTGTGAGAGCAGAGAACAGCCCCAGCTAACAGCCACCAGGAAGGCAGGGGCCTCAGTCCCACTGCAGTAAAGAAGGGACTTCTGTCCACAACGAAGTGAGCTTGAAGGACTCAGGCTCCAGAAAGGACTGCAGCCCGGCAGACCCACGGATGCAGCTTTGTGAGGCCCTGAACGGAAGGGCCGGCTAAGCCCTGCCCAGGCTTGTAACCCATGGAAATCGTGAAAAATCAACGGGTGTTGCTTTAGGCCACTAAGTTTGTGGTAACTTGTTATGTGCCAGCAGAAGGCTGATACTTCACCTAATGATATTTTTTTTAACATAAAGAGCACAATAAAAGTTTGTTTTAAAATATTGGCCCCGGAGGCACCTGGGTGGCTCAGTCAGTTAAACGTCTTACTTTCGTGAGTTCGAGCCCCACATAGGGACTCTGTGCTGACAGCGCGGAGCCTGCTTCAGATCCTCTGTCCCCCCCCCCCCCTCAGCACCTCCCTCGCTCTCAAAAATAAATAAACATTTAAAAAATGTTTTTAAATAAACAAAACATTGGCCGTTGTTTCTGTAACAGAGCCGTACCATTCAGTACACTTTGGGGGTGCGGGTCACATACATTCAGCTGGTTACGACTTCCTCCCGCGGGTACTTCCTATCTCTGTCACAACAGCCTCAGTGCCTACAGAGTGCTTCGTGGACTTTGCAGGACTGTCTTCCCTCCCGTTTCCCTTTAGTGGCCTGATGACCCTACCCTAGAAATGGCTTCAGGCTGAGCTCCTTCCTCTCCGTTCCCAAACTGCGGGCGTTGGGTCCAGGCTGCCCATTGTTTCTCCTGGGACTGGGCAGTCCCCCGCTACCTGGCTCCTGTCTCTCCTGGCTCCACAGTCTGTCACCTCCCCCAAACACCTCTCCTCCAGACAGCCCCGCTCAGAAATGGCCAGCGGCTCACTATTCCTGAGACACTTGGGTCCAAGGGCCCAATTTGGTCTAAACTCTCCTCTTCAGCCTTAGCCCAAACCAGTCTCCCATACCTCTCCCTCCCCCCTCCCGACAAGGGGCTCCTTTTTGGAGCGTGGCATCATGCCATCGAGCCTCTGTTCACAGTACTTCTCTGTAACTCTTCTCTTTTCTGCTCAGGACAATCTGCAGCCCCTAGCTGCGTCGTCACTCGTTCCTGATACTCCCTGGATCCTCAGGGGAGACGGAATGCATCGGGCTGCAGGTGCCTCGCTATGCATGTCGCGGACACCCGCAGGGCAGCCCTGCCCGCACCAGCTGCCTTCACTAGTCAGGGACCCACGGGGCGCGAGCCCTACGGGGAAGCCTGTGTGCCTGTTGCCCCGTGGCAGGGGCACCTCACCTCGGTCACCTCCATGCCCCACACATGGCAAGCGCCCCATGGGTGTTGGTGCACTCTGTCCCTAAAGTCCCTGTGACCACATGACCATTCCCATAACCCCAAGCACCCGGCCCTCAGGGTCCAGAAGGCCAGGAAGGCAGCGCACTCACCCTGAGCTGGGTCACTGGGGGAGGTGGCATCTGGGTCCTTCCCCCAGCTCCAGGGACCCCAAGAAAAGCACGCCAACAGCGCTGGGAGGCCCGGTCTCTCCCAGGCTCCTGCCACTAGAAAGAACACAAAGTCCCAGAGGCAGCAGGTGAGGGTGCTTGGCAGAACTGAGATGATCTGTTCAGCAAACCAAGAGCTTCAATTATTAACTGCCCTAGTTTCTGTTTGATTAAAAAAAACAAGGATTTGATTTATAAAATGAGGGGGGGAGTTTTTATACTTAAAAAATTGAGCCCCCTCGCAAAAGATTGCTTTATATACATTATGTTACTTTATCTTCTCAAAACCCTGTGATATAGGTATTGTGCGGGGGAAACGGTGTAACACAACTGACATGAAACTAACAGTTACATAGCACCAAAGAAAATACTCAAAGAGCAGAACTTCTCCCCCTGGGTTTTAGTTCAAACTATCCCTTAATGGGAATAGATTTAATCTTTTTTGATAATTACAATAAAACAATTACATGTTGAGTCTAGTTTTCCTTATTATACAGCACCACCTCAATTTCAGAGAGTCCCAACTCTCTGGAGTAAGGCCAATTGGAACATAAAATGTCCTGTTCATAAATCCCTCCTCAGGACCTATTTACTCTTAATTTGCACCCACTCTTAACAAGACCGGATGCTTAGTTGGATTAGGATTAGGACCCTCGGTTGAATTAAACATAAACTAGGCAAAGGGTCACTGCCAAAAGGCAGAAATCTGAAAGTGTAATAGCTATGAGGCCATGAGGAAACAGACTGGAAAACTTTAAAAAGCTAGACACAGTTGCTAGCAAAATCTTAGAAATGAATCCACAGTGCCACCCACTCCAAAAACCCTGAAGCAACCAGTGAGCAATAAATTACAATTATACTCATGACTTCTGGCCCATGAAAGGTTTCTTTGTTGTTGAGTATGTTTTTATAAAAGTAGAAATGAGTTTAAGCAGCAGAGAAGGATTCCCTTGCAGAGTGTTAAAACTTCTTAACTGCTAGTATGTAACAGGAGTCTGCATGCCAGGCAGGGTGTTGGGAAATGGGAATAGAATAGTGATTAAACTCACGAAGGAAAGTGACAAAACCACGTGGTTAAGAATTCTGGGATTTCACTTACAAATTTACAAGTGGGAGTAGGGAGGGTCAAGGAAGGCTTCCTGGAAGAGGAAGTCCAGTCCCAAAAGATGGCATGGGATTGGTCAGGTGAAGAGGAGGATGGGAGGAATGGCTTTCATGTGAGGCAACTGCATTCAAGGCAACTGTAATGTGTACAATAACTTAGGAGGCCAGAGCACACCTGGCTCTGGGGAATTAAACGTTGTTCCTGGAGAATGGAAGAGGGCTAAGAGACTGAGAACTCAGAATTTTCTAGGCACCGGCTCATTAAGGGCAGAAAATTTGGTTGTGTAAATTCCCCCCTTTGCCCCATGGGGCCGGGTCAGTGACGGGACTGGCATCAACCGTCACAATACCAACCCACCTGGGGACATTCCCCTTGTCTTCCAGGATCCTGGTTGTAGAGTGTCTAATGTAGCCGGCTAGCTCACAGATTCAAGAGAAAGGGGGTTGCAGGCATGTGGGGGAAGGCTGGTGCAGGCTCTAGGGCCGAGATGCACGGCCTCCACCCAGGCAGGCCAGGCAAGCTGGTAAGTCTCTGACATTTGTGACATCAGAGGTCCCACGTCTCCTTGCTGGAAAAGACCCCCCTGCAAGCCTGGCATCTCCTAGCTTCTGGGTAACACACCAGTGCCCAGGGAAGCAGAACACAGTCTCTGTCTTCATGAACTCTTTAGCAAGAAGGGAGGGCTGGAGGGCTGGGGGGGGGGGTGGCAGAGAGCAGATGCTGGAAAACTGAAGGTGACAAGGGATCGGGGAATGCAAAGAACAATCCTCAGCTTTGCCACATATACCTATACCTAATGTCTGTACTTCAATCCTGAGACACAGAAAAGCCCTTGTGAAACCTGCACGGGCTGGAGGAGATTCTGACACTGCTGCTGACGGCAGTAGTCACCCGGGCTGGGAAAAGCCCCTCACCCCCTTCCTCCCGCTTCAGGAGAATGTAGAGAGAACTGCAGCAGTAGCTGCGCACAAACAGAGTGGGTAGCCAAGGAGGAGTAGAAAATTCTGGGTCCTCAGTCGCTCACACCCTTTCCCCCTACCTCCAAGTCTCGGCATCTATTCCTTGCCTTCTTCCGATGATACGCCCGTGGCGCTTCCGCACTGAGCCTCCCGGTCGCACCCCTGGCTGCACAGCGTCCTAGACGCTCCCGCTAAGGCCACCCCCCTCGTCCCAGTTCTGCTCCCCTCCCCACCTTTAAACTTGGACGTCCTGAGGCTTTCTCGCCTTCTCTCCGTCCCCTCCCCAGCGCCCGGCCCAGTCCGCGCTTCTTTCCCCCAACGTCCCCTGCCTCGAGCTTGCCTGCTCGGCTTTCCCAAGCCCTGCATCTCTTACGCTTTCTGGATCCTTCCGGGCACAGCCTGGATCCCGTGCCCAGGGCCCGCTCCGCGCTGGCTGAAAGACCTCAAGCCAGGACCTCCCCCCTCCCCCTCCCCCCGCCCCACCCCGGGCCTCAGTTTACTGTGGTGCACAAGGAGGGAAGCCGGCCTCAGGAGTTCCAACTCGGGGGTCCTCCCCGAGACGCGCGCGCGTCTCACCTGGTCGCGCGGGCCCCGCGGCTTGCAGCGCTCTGCAGGCGGCCGCCTGGACGGCCAGGCTGGAGGCCGGGTGGCCGGGGCGGTAGGCGGCCGCCTGCACCGCGCCCCCCGCCTGGCGGCCGAACACCGCGCGCAGCAGCGCCTCCAGGAGCCGCAGCGCCGGCGCCGCCGCGTCCTCGGGCCCCGCCTCGGCCACCAGCACCGCGACCAGCGCCGCGCCGGCCCGCCGCCGGCCGCGCACGTCCCGCAGCATCTCCCGCAGGCGGCGCCGCGGCTCGCGGGCGGCCAGCGAGCACGCGCGGCACAGCACGAAGACGAGCGGCGAGCGGATGGCGCGCGCCCCCGCCGCCCGGGGGGGCGGCCTCTGCGCGCCCGGCGCCCCGGCGCCCGCGCCGCCCGGCTCGCGCGCGCCCGGCTCGGGCGGGAACACGGCCCGCGCGAAGTCCCGCAGCAGCGCGCGGCTCTGCTCGCGCTCCCACAGCTCGCCCACCAGCAGCACCTGCCCGCGGCCGCCCGCCGCCTCCACCAGCGCCTGGAAGGGCGGCTCGGCCGGGCCCGGGGGCCGCGCCGCCAGCTCCTCCAGCTCGCGCTCCATGCTCGCCGCCGCGCGTGCTCTGCGGCCGCCGCGGCCCGGGAGCGCCAGGAGCGCACCTCTCGGGGCGCTCGCGCCGGGGGCCCAGCAGGACACGCCCCCGATCCCCGGCCCGCGGGCCGCGTATTCCGTGCTGCCGCCGCCGGCAGCTGGGCGGGGGCGGGGGCGGGGACTGGGGCTCCCACCCCCTCCTCCCGGTGCTTCAAGGGCGGCTCCTCCCGCAGTGACTGTGGCGACGCGGGGACCAAGCCGTCGGTCCGCGTATCCATGCACCCATTCATGCATCCATTCAACAAACACAAATTGAGCACCTACTAGGAGCCGGGCAGCCAAGAATGAAGACAGAAAACGACGCTAACAAATGCGTCTTCACAAGTTAGATTGGTTTGAGACCTGGGACAGATTCTTCTTCTCGCCCCTCTCCCCCCATTTATGTATTTATTTTGAGAGAGAGAGAGAGAGAGAAGGGGAGGGGCAGAGAGAGGGTGAGAGAGCATCCAAGAACGTTCCACACTGTCAGTGTGGAGCTTGATTCCGGGCTCTGACCCACCACCATGAGACCATCGCCTGAGCCTGACAGTTAATGACTGAGCCACCCAGGTGTCCCTGGCACTTCTGTGGGTAGGCCCTGCCTCTAACTACGCTGCTTAGGAGTTGGTGGGGGGGGGGGGGGGCCCCGGGGGGGGGGGGGGGGCACCAGAGACGGAATGCAGAGAAGGGGGTAGGGAGGTGAGTAAAGAGGCCAAAGGGGGATTTCTTCTCTTACTTCTGTAAGAGCTCACCTTTTGGGCCTTAGCATTTAACAAAAGCTAATTCATTATTTCAACAAGTACTTATTACCCACAGGGCAGTGCCCTGGGCACTGGGCACTGGGGTGTGTGTGTGTGTGTGTGTGTGTGTGAAAACCGAGAAGGCAGACAGCTTTACTCCACTGGAGCAGAAAGCTTAGGAAGGCAGATGTGGGCACTGACGGTGCTCTGATCCCAGCAGGGGTAGTGGTGGTTTAGGGGTGACAAGGGGATGCCAGTAGACCAGGTTAGAAGCAGGGGTGCATTTACTTTCATTCTAAGGGTCTAGGTCAGCTTCGTCCAATGGAACATTCTTTGATGATGATAATATTTTATATTATCTATACTGTCCAATGCAGTAGTCACAAGCCACACGTGGCTGTTGTTACTTAAAATCTGGCTAGAGCAACTGAGAAGCTGAACTTTACATTTATCTCATTTTAATTAAATGTAAATAGCTACATGAGGTTAATGGCTGTGGCAACAGACAGTGCTTTACTTCCCTTCTGTTACACTGCATAGACGAAAGACCCGTTTGGGTCAATAGCATGTTCACACTCAGCTCTCTCCTTCACTATATAACTCCCAATCTGCTATTCAGCTCCCCTATTTCCTAACCCCGCTAGAATTATGCTAAAATATCTCCTCCTAAAGAACTTGTATGGCCATTTAATAAAACACACCTATTTTGAGCACCTACTGTGTGCAAGCACTGGGGATTTGAAGATGTGCAAGCAGCCCTGCCCTAAGTCAAACTATTCAGCAGTTGGAGTAAGGTTTTATCCAGCACTTGGAGTAAGGCCCCCATATCTTTTTTTTTTTTTTTTTTTTTTTTTTTTTT